TCTGTGATTACCTGTAAGCCAGTCCCATCTCTACACCAGGGCATGTGGCACTTTCTTGGCCCGCGAGAGTGATGAGAGCTTAGCCCAGGCAGGCAGCTGGCACAATGGACAAAATGCAACAGGATCAGGTCAGAGGCGTTGAAGGCCAGCACGGTTTTCTGACGGAGGAGGTGTGGGGTGTGATCCAGGGGGCAGGCAGACTACTTACGGCTGTGAATTGCCCTTTCCTTTCATTTTCTCTCCCTTTATATGTTGGTTCATCATTGGGGTACAAGATAATGGATTTCAGGGTGTCATTAATGCCTCTGTATGTGTGAAGACCCCTCATTTCCCACCTCCAACAAAGACGCCCCCAACCCACTCGTCCAATACCATCACCTGCCCCATCTTTTTTCTCTCATAATCTCCACAGTTTTCACTGAGTGTGAGTTAGTTTTGTTGCTTCCTAAAAGTTCATTTTCTTTTCTCCACTTAGATTCTAAAAGAAGCCATCTAGGAATTGTCTTGGCTGTTTAGCGATAGCACAGCAGGGAGGGTGTTTGCCATGCACGTGTCCGACCAGGGTTCGATTCCTCTGTCCCTCTCAGAGAGCCTGACAAGCTACCGAGAGTTTCCCACCCGCACGCCTGAGCCTGGCAAGCTTCCCGTGGCATATTCGATATGCCACTAACAGTAACAAAAAGTCCCATAATGGATATGTTACTGGTGCCTGCTCTAGCAAATAGATGAACAATGGGAGGACAGTGCTAAAGTTTAGTATAATCACTTCAGGGTCTATCCCTTTTGTCCTCACAATTTCCCAAAGTCACAATTTCATCATTTTAAGAGCCAAGTCATATTCCACTGACTCTGACTACCACAGTTTCTTTATTCAGTTATCTGGGGATAGGCATTTAGGTAGACTCCATGTCTTGGTCGTTGTGAATAATGGCACAGGAACAGAAAGAGGCAAATGTCCTTGTGAGTTGGTGTTTCTGTATCCTTCAGATTAATGCCTAGGAGTGCGATGATTGGAACATAGGTAATTTCCTTTTCTCTTTTTTAAAGAGGAGTTTCCATATCATTTTTGCCAACTTACATTCCTGCCAGCACATTGAGTTGCCACGCAGTGAGATCAACCTTTTGAGAGGGGAGAAGGAAAATCCTGAGCTCAGCCTCGAAGACGGATGTACCTTTGGTTCTTTACAAGTAGAGAGTCCCAGCAGGCAGCTGGAGAATGAAACAGAGAGATAACGAGCATAGAGCTTCACCCTTGGACCATCCAGCCCCCAGGCCGCTGTCCACTCTGCACCCAGGGTTCAGTGTAACGCACAGTCACAGCTTGTGGTGCCCACATAGAACAGTAGGATTCCATTAAGTCTCCCTTGCAGGAAGTTGTGTTGAAAAGTATGGAGACAGGATTCACTCACCATATGGGTTACTCTTAAAGCCACAGGAGCACAGGAGCTTGCCTAGCGGAGCCAAGCCTAGGGGGCCAGGCAAGGTCAAGAGACAGAAGGTCACTTTGACTAATCAGGACATCCAAAAGATTCCGCCACAGAGACTCAGCATGAAGGTGGGTTAGGGAGGAGAAGAGCCAAGCTGGGTGTTGGTAAAGGAAATCAGGAAGAAAGTGAGCCCCGTGGCCCAGGCTGGTGGAGTTAGATAGATCGCCTAACTACTGGGTATGACAAGGCGTGCTTGAACACACGGTTTAGAGGGAGACTTGCTAGAGAAGGAGCATGGAGGAAGGGGATGGATGTGGGAGTAGTGTTTGGAGTTAAAGGCAACTCTGAGAGATGTTGGTTAAAGGGAATCAGGGACATAGGACTGATGAGTCAGCACTTTAAGTTCTCTCTGGGTCAGTACAGATACATTCTGATGGAGAATCTTCCTGCAGACATGGGGAAAATTTGACCACTCCATCCATGGTCTTGTTTATTTGGGGGTATTTTTATTTGATTTTTTTTGTTTTGGGGGGCACACCCTACATTGTTTAGGGTTTACTCCTGGCTCTGCACTCAGGGATCACTCCTGGCACGCTTAGGGAACCATATGGGACAATGAAGATCAAACATGGGTTGGGCACATGCAAAGCAAGTGCCCTACTATATCGCCAGCCCCTTCAATGTTTGTTTGTCTGGTTTTTTTTTTCCATTGGATAACACTTTGATCTTCAAAGTCTTCCCCCTCCCCCCCCCCATTAAGTGTCTCCTGCTGTTCGAAAACAGCATTTTAAAATGTCTTGCAGGAAACCACATACCGTGTATAGTTTTGGTTCTCCAAACTGGCTATAAAAGTGAAAGAATATATTTTAAATGCCCGTTGAAAATTGGTTAAGCTGCTCAAATCTCCAGAACATAAGTCCTGGGAGCCCCCCAAACAAGAACTCCTGTTATATTTTTTACTTGGGAGGGTTTGACATTTGCATTCAGAATCTGTTTCCTCTAAGGCACTAGGATTTAAGGTCTCCTTGGGATGGTGCCAACAGAGTGGCCCAAGGAAGTGGACAGAGACAGGGATTTCTGCCCCACCCATCATGCTTTGCACCCTCACTTGTGTAGGCATTGTCCCATAGCACCGTCCTCCTCTGTAGGTCTCCGCTCACCTGTGGGACCAAAAGTGTCACCCAATGCATTGCGTTGGCAATATGCCTGCTCTCCACCAATGGGAAGGAAATTAGGTTGAACTCTCAGCCAGCCCAAGGATTAGCTCCTGTGTGCAGTGTGAGGATGCATGTAATTCCTTTCATAAAACACGATTGCTTCCTCCGAAGGAAAATCTCAACAGAAAAATCCCACACAAGCAAAACATGTTGCTTACTCAAAATGTAGGAAATAATTGTCATTGGCATGTGATTCCAAGAAGAGTTATAGGACTCAGCAGTAAAAATGAGAAAACCGAAAGTAATGATCAGACACTTTTTAATAAGGAAAGCAAAGGCAAAAAAGATGTTAAGACCCAGAAGAAACATGAGACATCAATTTTTGAAAGGTTTTCACTGGAGACTAAGAACTCTTTTCCATGCCACAGGACTGCCTGTGTCTAGTGGTGCATGAGGATGAGGCAGACTTTCTGTTAACATTTTGGTTGTTTCTGGGAGACCCCGGGGTTTATTTTGCTCTATAGCCATCCCATAGTATCTCCAGAGTAAACCCACATATTCCCGAAGCCATTTTAAGCAAGTTTCTGTGGTGGGGTCCTAAGGAATTTGGGGGAATGCTGGAGGTCCCCAAATTGAATAATTGCCGCACCCAACATTAAATTAGGGAGATCCCACCAGACAGACAGAGTGAAGGGTGCTTATTTTAAACTGAAAATATCCTTCACTTCTGCCCAGTTTTGGTGGTAAAAAAAAAATTTCCACTAGACTCCTGGGGTGGGAGAGAACCAGATATTTATATTCACGCTTTGAGCTTGAAAAGAGAAAAGAAAAACAGAGGAATCTTTAAGCGGGGAGAAAAAAAAAGACATCAGCCAGAGAGGCAAATACTGTTTGCCAGAACCCAAAACAAACATTTTGTTGGAGGTCCTAAATTCTATTTTAAGCTCATCTGCTAGTTACCTGTGCAATCTTGCGCAAGTTTCTTTCTTCTCTGGTTTAATATTTTCTCAATGAAAAGCACAGGCAGCTCCATTAGAGAGTCATTAGGGGGATACGTTTTGAGATAATTCATAGAAATGGCCCCGCGAGGCACCTGGGACATGCCAGTAAGTGATGGATCAGAGTTTTGTTGTTCAGTCCTGAAGCATCTGCCTTCTCCTGAGTCCATGTTCTTTTAAGAGCAATCTTTGTTCGTACATCTGTTACCAAAACCTTCCCTTGGATCCTGATTCACATCTTTTCTTCCAAGGATGCGTTTTCTTTGGAAACCTCATTCTGCTTGGAGTCTCAACTGGATGATAGGCAAATCTGAGTGGGTTTTGGGAAAGCTTTTGGAGGGTCTCCTGTGGCCCCTGCTGCTGGTTCCCAGGATTGTATCTTGATTTGGATGAAATCATTGATGTTCATGGGTTGGGGGTGGGGGGTGGGGGGGAGGTGCCGTTTCAAATACTGTTAGGCACAAGTGCCACACTAGACTTCTAGTCCGGGGTGAAGACTGAGACCTCATCAAAGCATTCTCGGGCTTGTGTTTGCCTATTTGCAGACCAGTGTGGTGCCCTGATACATCGTATGGTCCTCCAAGCACCACTCCTAAGCACAGAGGCAGGAATAGCCCTGGAGCACTGTTGGGTATGTTGGGTGTATTCACCCCCCACTGCACCCACTCGCCCCAGTAAATCACTATCACTGTTATCCTGTTGTTCATCAATTACCTCGAGCAGGCACCAGTAATGTCTCCTTCATCCTAGCCCTGAGATTTTAGAAAGTGCCACATTCGAGGTCCTTTTAGGGTCAGGAGAATGAGACCCATCATTGTTATTGGTTTGGGGCATATTGAATATGCCACGGGGAGTTTGCCAGACTCTGCCGTGTGGGCAGAATACTTTTGGTAGCCTGTCAGGTTATAAATATAAATAGAATAGATTTTTCCTCTTCCCATCAATATGCAGGTTTTTTCTTTATTAATAGATTTTCCTCATGATGAAGGTGTGCATGTCTGGCAAATGTTAGTGTCCCTTTGGGGCGTCTAAATTAGAGTTTCCCCAAACTTATTTGACCTCCTTCTCCCCTTTCAGAAAACAAATAATCATTCTGTTGACCTTCTTTAAGTGAAAGAATAAAAAATCACCCACCACCTCCCTAGTTGGAACCCAGGGTACTGCTGCCTCCTGGATCATCCAGCAACCCCTGGGGTTGGGAGCAGGGACGGGGCTGTATTATCTCCCTCACTGGGGAGCTGACCTAAATTTCACTGTCAATGACATGGACAGAGACACTCAGTCATGGAAAACATGGGGACAAAGGTGTGAGCCCAGCTTAAAGCCAGACGGTCCCTCAAGCATCTCAAAGTGCAGGGTTCTGGAAGGCGGTGTCTGACCTGTTGTATTGCTCTCTGATTTGTGTCTCACCCGGGCAGATTCTGATGCAAGGCAAAAACCCGGGGATAGCCTGGAAATACGCACTCCCCAAGGTCGCCAATGGAACCCCACCCGCCTCGGAGAAACACGTGCACTCGTGGCGCACCTCACGGGCCGACTGCTCTGTCTCCTGCGGAGGAGGTAGTCCCCCCACCCTCCTTGCGGGTCACACACAGTGCATGGGTACATGTGCTGTAGATGCTCCTCCGGATGCAGTTTGGTACACACATACACACATACACACACACACACACACACACAAACAGTGCAGATTTTCCTCGTGATATGGTTTGGTTTTCACACACACTATAGATTTTCCCCGTGATCCCTTTTGGTTCAGACACACACACACACACACACACACACACACACACTACAGATTATTCCTGTGATATGGTTTTGTACACACACACACAGTGCAGATTTTCCCCATGTTATAGATTGGGTCACACACACACACACACACTGCAGATTATTTCTGTGATATGGTTTTGTACACACACACAATGCAGATTTTCCCCATGATATGGATTGGTTCACACACACACACACACACACACACACACACTGCAGATTCTCCCCATGATTTGGTTCACACACACACACACAAACATACACACCCAGAAGATTCTCCTCATGATACGGTTTACACATATACATGGTTGGATTCTTTCCATGCTCTTGTTTCTACACACACACACACACACACACACACACACACACACTCATACACTGCAGATTTTCCCCATGATATGGTTTGGTTTTCACACACACACTGTAGATGTTCCCCATGGTCCCTTTTGGTTCAGACACACACACACACACACACACACACACACATTAAAGATTATCCCTGTGATGTGGTTTGGTACACACACACAATGACACAATGCAGATTTTGCCCATGATATGGTTTGGTTCACACACACACCACACACACTGCAGATTCTCCCCATGATTTGGTTCACATACACACATACACACACAAACATACACACATAGAAGATTCTCCCCCATGATATGGTTTACACACATACATGTTTGGATTCTTTTCATGGTCTGGTTTATACACAGACATTCACACACACATACACACACAGAGGTTATTCTCCCCATGCTCTAGTTTCTACACACACACACACACACTCACACACACACACACACACACACACACACTCTGTACCACATTGCACACTTTGCTCCATGGTATGGTTTAAATAAGCAGCAAAAAGAGCTGTCTTCTGTGGGCAGTGTCTCTGTGAAAAGCAAATATTATTGTGTTCCTTGTGGCTTTTCCTATGTAGAAAGGAACCGATTCTTAGAAAACTCCACCACCGTCGGGACTCAGAAGTTCGATGTCTGAAACTTAGAGGGGAAAATCGAAAACATGTTTAGATGTATTTATAAACAGAAGGATGTATGCTAATGTCTGCCTGCCTCCCCTTCCAGCTTGAGGTTTCTCTCCATCCTGACTTTTCTGGGGTTGCAACACCCCCCCCCCCCCACTCCACCTCCAACCCAGGGACCATATCAGGGAGGGATTGAGACCAGAGTAAACCAATTTAAGCTTTAAAATCCCGGATGTTGACCCTAGTGAGGAAGCGATACAGCAACCATCTCTCCGCCAACAGGAGTTTTGTATATGCACCAAAGTTCCTATGTGGGAGAGTCCTTCTTGCTCACACACGTCCCTCGGGGAAAATGAAGTCCTTTCATAGGTTTGTGAAGCCAGTGGCCCTGAGAGATCAGAGCAGCTAGTGTTGGGGCATCTCTGTCATCTCACCAGGCAGACTGAGATATCAGGGTCAGAGACAGAACTCCTCTGACCAGTGAGGCCTGCTGTTCAGTCGTCAGGCTGATTTATCACACTGGAGGAAATACTTAAAAATAAAACAAAAACCAGGGGCCTGAGTGATAGTACAGTGTGGAGGGCATTGGCCTTGCATGAGGGCTATCCAGATTCAATCCCCAGTACCACATCTGGTCCCCTGTGTGCCACCAGGAATGATTTTTGAGCCAAAAACCAGAGCATCTCTGGGGTGGCCCCCCAAAAATCAAATATGTAAAATACTCTTATTCAAAGTGGTTTTGAATTCTGACTGGGAAGTTCACAAAATATTTCTATTTGCTTTAATCTGTGAGTGTACAGGGCTTGAAACTCTCTGGCCTATATCATCCCAATTTCCTTATACAAGCATCAAAACACATTTTTCACTTACCCAGCTGATTGCCACAAGTATCATTCTGTATTTTTTTCCCAGAACAGAAACCATGATCTAGACCAAAGATATCCAGACATATTTACACTCCTGCCACCTTCTCAGAAACACAATCTCTCTCAGCGAGAGAAATCTACATTCTCTAAAGGAACCAACAAAATCTTCTCCCCATTGTACCCAGGGTGACTACTCCTCCTCCAAGATTCCAGCACCCCCACCTGAGTGGGGTATGTGTGTGTGTTGGGGGTGGTCACCCACTTTGGGAAGCACTAATCTCCACATGCCTTTACATACATTCTGTAGCTTCTCACTTCTGCTCAGAGCCCGTCATCACACACCAGCCACTCATCTGCAGTCCCTTAGCATGGCGCCCATATCCCAGTGTGGTTTCGAGAGATGCCTCAAGAGCAACCCTCATCCACCCAGTCACTGCTGCGGTGATAATGATGTCACTCAGCATTCTCAGATTGAAATCTTAAGAACATCTTAAGGAAAAGTACCATGGAAACACAGACAATTCCAAAAGAAGGCAGCATTTCTATTGGGTGTGTTGGGGTGGGGGGAGATGTCAGATTAAGTCATTAAAAAAATGTCTGGAGCTTACAAGCTACGCAGAGGAAGTTCATTCCCATACAGCCAGGATGCAAGTCAGGAGGAATGAACCTGAGAGAGCTACTTGGCATTTCTGTACGTGAATCCTCCGATGGAAAGAAATGATTGCTGCTAAATCTGCCCATTTTCATACCTCTTTCACCACTGGATTTTTCTTCTGTGTTTACACCACTGGATTTTTTTTCTGTGTTTAAAATTTGTGGGATGTTTCCCCTTTATGGTCACTCCATTTCCAAAAGGTGGTATTTATCATTCTGTGGTTCTGGGATCCACAGCCATCTTTAAATGAAACTTCACGTTGAAAATGTTCAAATAGGAAAACTCTTCTCTTGACTGGGGGGTTGGGTGGGGGTTCAGGTTAGTTGCAGATTTTATCTCAAGGAAGTGTGTTCATCAGCAACTGAATTTGGGAGTGAAATGGATTCAGTTCTTGGTAATTTTCACTTGGTCATTTCTGACTTTTTTTTTAGGCTACATAAGTATAAAGGCCATTTGCTTGCGAGATCAAAAGACTCCAGTCAATTCCTCATTCTGCAATCCCAGAACCAAGCCGGCCACTGAACCTAAAATCTGCAATTCTTTCTCCTGCCCTGCCTAGTAAGTTCTGTGGAAGTGTCTTTCTGGTGATGTCTGAACGTCTGTGCCTTGATTTTCGGTATAAGGTCATGAAAGCAAACTCACTGTCCTGGCCTCTGCTCAAAGGTGGTATCAAGGGGCTAGAGCACAGCAGGTAGGGTGTTTGCCTTGTATGTGGCCAACCTGGGTTTGATTCCCAGCATCCCATATGGTCTCCTGAGCTCCGCCAGGAGTAATTCCTGAGTACAGAGACAGGAGTAACTTCTGTACATCTCTGGGTGTGATCCAAAAAAGAAAAAAAAAGGTGGTATCAAGATGGCCCCTCTCAATATCCCCTTTCCCCAAAAAGGGAACAGAAGCAAGTGTCTTCACCTGGAGACTTAAATATAAATCTCGAAGAATAAAGGATGCTTTGGGCATTTCTGTAACTGGCTTTGCACACAAATGGGAATAAAAAAGGCATCAAGGTGTCTCATATATTTTTGCATAGAAATCCTTCTCTAATTGAAATCAGATACTTAAACAACATTGGAATCCTCTATTAGTTCAATTTCTATGTGGTTGTATGCTTACTGTTATATAATTGTCCAAAGAAAATTTTTTTTTAATTTATGCTCCATGCAGACCGCGAAACCCCAAATGCAAATTACACAGTAGCCAGAGACGAAACAGGGAGAGGCCAAGTGGTAACTGCACTTCTGACGATGGTGCATTGTGGGACTCTCAGTGAATTTGTTTCAGGATTGCTTTTAGCCACACTCTTGTTTGAACACTAATTTTAAATAATCCTCCCAGCCAAGTGGAGTCACTTCTTCTGTGACTTATCTTCTGCCAAGTGTGTGTGTATTGAATTGACAGAGTTTATTCTAAAGCCATGCTGTGTTCACAAGTATTTCAGATCATCTTAAGAAATCGTGTTTGCATTGTGGTGGTACAATTATGTTGCACAATCTTTTTGTATACCCATGACCAGTTTTTCCTTGCAAAGAAAGCATTTGTCATCGGCATCATTTGGGACTTCAGTTGTCCGCCCATTCCAAGTGCCTAGCCAGCCATCAACCTCATCTTTCCTCAGAATCCGGAACCAGGAGTATCCTGGGGGGAAAACGGGGGGATGTTCCTCTCATAGGTTTTCCTCTCCTGCTAAGAAATATCTGGTTTTGAGAAGTGCCCGCGGTCTAAGATGCAATTAGCAGGCATTGTTCCTGGCCGAGTGGAAGGCATCCTGACTCCTCCTGGGTCTGATCACCCCTTCCTTGGGCCTTGTGTCTCTGTGTGTATCAGTACATTTAGGAATCATCAGCGTGCTTGAGTGGGAAGCTGATGTCTTCTGATTTGAAACTTTCTGCCCTTCCCAGTTATGTCCTTCTTGCAAAGAAAGGGCACATTCGTGTAGAGACCCATGCAAAGGAAGAACTTCGAGGTCCTGCCAACCCTCAGAACTTCCCCATTGGCTCCATGGACCTAACGTTTTCCTGTTTACCAGGAGGACAGGCCCTCCCGATGCAGAGATGGAATGGGGAGTCAGGCGGGACCTTTCCCCCTTCCTGTCTTAGCCCTTCCACATTGCTAGTTTCTCTTCAAACCCCGGGACCTCCCAGAGATCGCTCTCCCTCCCTCAGGAAGATGCTGGAAACAGGGCTTAGATGACCAGACAGACTGCCAAGGACAAAGGCAATAGAGCAGAGAAATCAAGAAAATGCAGTGAGTGGGGCATTGAAGTGTTCTGTACAATGTGCAGTGAAGAGTCTGGGCCTGAGTGGGGTGACAGGGAGCAAGCTTGGTGGCAGGTAAACCTGGGAAACCACCTGTTGTGCAAAACATCTATCTATGTTCTTCTTGCTGAGACTTTGATCACTCCAATTTGCAGTGTCAGCTTTGTCTCTTGGCTTTTTTCAACCATGATCCCCTTCCGACTATGTTTCCTTCTTGTGCCCCCTTGCCCCCAACGAGTAATCCGATTGGTTACCTTCCTAGTTTAGTGCTATGTCCACCCCCCCCCCCCATTTACTTTCACCTGAGGGCCCCTTGGAATATTCTGGGAGCCCCACTCTGAAGAAACTCTGATGTAGGAGAAAGAAACTTAAATGTGTAGGTTAAAAAGGCCATCTTCCTGTGAGAAAGTAGAGACCAATCATTTCCTAAAGCTTTACATCTTCTTATAATCTACAAATGACTGCATAGTTACAGGGGATTTATTTATTTGATCCTCTTCTTTTAATTCATGTGGATTATGCAATGTTTTATAATGAACTTGGTTCCAGCCCTCATGGGCTGAGTTCTGTAGACTAAAAAGCCTTTGTTTTCTTTTCTTTTTTTTTTTTACATATTAGGTTTGTGGGTGGAAACCAGGGTGGAACACAGAACTAGAAAAGAGAACAGAAATGTACAGATAAAACAGAAAATATATTTGGTCTTAATGCCATCTTGTTTCTTACAGTTAAACTTAAGAATTGTACTCTAATTCAGATGTTTGATAGTCATATCTGCTCTATCTGTGTATGTGAGGACTTAAGAATTCTGCTCTAGGGGGTGGAGCAATACTATAGCCAGTAGGTGTTTGCCTAGCATGTGGCCAAACCAGGTTGTATCCCCAGCATCGCATATGGTCCCCTGAGCATCACTTAATGTGACCCAAAAATAAATAAAATGATGAAACTACTATTAAAAACAAATTTTTTCTCAAATTCAGATGTTTGACATTGATATCTGCTCTATCTGTGTATGTGAAGACTTAAGAATTTTTTTCTAATTCAGATGTTTGACAGTCATATCTGTTCTATCTGTGTATGTGAGGATTTATGAATTTTGCTCTAATTCAGATGTTTGACAGTCCTATCTGCTCTATCTGTGTATGTGAGGATTTATGAATTTTTCTCTCACTCAGAAGTTTGACAGTCACATCTGCTCTATCTCTGTGTGTGTGAGGCCTTCAGATAAGAGAGCTTTGGCTCATCCAAAGTCGCTGTTGAAAGTAGCTTCAATTGTCCACCCTTCAAATATATACCAAGTCTCAGATAGCTGTGGAGAAAAAGTGGTCTGGCAATCTTGAAATAAGGAACATGGGGTTATATCTCTAACCCATCATTACATTTTATGACTAGTCAGAAAAGTCCTGTGTATGTACATGGGCATGCTTGGAGGGTGACGTGGCTCTTCAGAAATATTCCCTGTGAGACCATGTCTGAATATTTCCCTCCCTTCTGTGTGCACATACCTGCAAACCCCCTTCCCTTTAATTGATCTATTTTATTCTCTTAGCTATTAGCCTCCTTATTGTACATTGTTATCTTCCACTGTAGTGATCCAAAAACTTTGCGTTACTTGTGTAGTCATCATTTCACTCTACTGCAGCTGACTTAATGGAAAAATCATCCCATTATTTGAGTTTCTTTTTTTCAACTCTATTTGCCTAAGGGAGACCCTGGCTCAAATTTAAAATCTGAAATTTGCCTTGCATGCGGCCGACCAGGCCAACCCAACTTCGATTCCTCTGTCCCTCTCGGAGAGCCTGGCAAGCTACCAAGAGTATCCCACCCGCACGGCAAAGCCTGGCAAGCTCCCCGTGATGTATTCGATATGCCAAACACAGTAACAACAAATCTCACAATAGAGACATAACTGGGCCCACTCAAGCAAATCAATGAACAACAGGAGGACAGTGCTACAGTATATCTGAATGAATAAATGAATGAATGAATTCCTCAGATTCCCAAATGGTACCGGTGTCTTACCCTGCAAAGGGCAGGGGTGTATTCCCACCCAACCCCACCCATGAACTGTGCGGTGGTTAAATGTCACGCCCCCCCTTACCCACCTGCGTGTAGACTTCCACCTGTATTAAGGAGCAATGTAAGACAGTCATGGCACTGTGCATGGTAATGTTATCTAAAGCTGCCCTCAGTGGGGATAGCCAGTTATAGCAACTGCTTCCCAGGTCAGGATCCAGAGTCTTGTCTTAATGGGAGTTCCCTTTTTCTTTTTCCTTTTCCCCACTGCAAGCTGGAAGCCAGGTGAATGGAGCGAATGCAGCAGGTCATGTGCCGGGGGCCAGCAGAGCCGGAAGATCCAGTGTGTGCAGAAGCAGCCCTTCCAGCGGGAGGAGGCCGTGGTCCATTCTCTCTGCCCCGTGAGCACGCCTGCTCAAGTGCAGATGTGCAACACCCACGCCTGCCCCCCAGCATGGAGCCCGGGGCCCTGGTCGCAGGTAACTGGCAGTGTTGAGTCACAAGTTTTGAGCCCCAAAGAGCTCTCACAGGTCACAGCTTCCTGGGAGTCCCCCTGGCCTTTCCTCAGCTCCCAGAAACCCTCAGCAGTGCCCAGCAGGGCTTCCCAAACAAAGCAGTACCTGGTGCTACATGCGCTAAGGCTGAGAACTCTGTCCGGCTTGCTCAGCCACAGTAATGGTGGCTTGAGGATTGATGAGAATCAGGCAGTGGGCTTGGCTTCATCTTCTGGACCAGGAAACCAGGCTGTTATGGTGCCCTTTCTGCCGTGTTTTCCTTTCAGGAGGTCGCATTGCATCCCAGAGGATGAGGGTGTCTGGTTGCTCAGCAGTGTGATCATACCCTCAGCAGAGGTTAGGGAAAGGGTCTAGTTTGGTTCGTAAGGCTTCCAAGGGTCCCTCCTCTTTAATGATAAGACATTTCGCAAGTGTTGTTGTGACAGCTTTCTCTCTTAAGGTTTCACCAGGGTCCTGGAGGGGGAAATGTGTCAGCACATGCTTAGCTGTGGCCTAAATAAAGGTTAGAGGCCCTGTCCATGTGAGTAAATTCATGCAGTAAATTGGCTTGAACTGGGTTTCTTTCTTTGCCATGTCGGGGCTTATAAATTTACTCATGGGCAAAGAGAGAATTCAGAGAACTATTTGGGGTATAAAATGGGCATAACTAAAGGCAGTGGAAGACTTGGGAGCTAATAAGACACTTTAGTTGATAACAGTCTCATGTTTCCAAAGGCCTATCTTGGGATAATGTTTTTTACTTCAAAAACCCTTTGAGAGCTTATTCTTGACCCTGTAAAAATTTGTTTCAACCTCCTGTTCATCCAACGGAGACTGTCTCTGGAGACCCTCTGGGAAGCAACTTAAACATTTCAACTTTGTAGGAGAAAAAATAAAAGGTTGAGTTTTTAATGTGAATGAGCTCTGTTGGTTAAGGGGTGCAGAGCCCTCTGTGGCATCAGACCCAGATATTATCTCTGCTGCTGTTGGATCTTGGTCAAGCTACATCAGCCCTTTGATGCTCAAATGTTTCACGTGTAAAATGGGAGGATAGCAAGGACCTTATTGGGTGGTATGTCTGATTCTGGGACAAGGGACCAGCAGAAAATCATTGCCACAGGGAAGCTGATTTGTCCCTTACTGCTGTTGCTCATGGCACATGGGGATGGCATATTGTGAGTCTGGCTCCATTTTTCTTAAAAATGTGAAGAATGAGGACTCACATGGTCCTCCACGAGCCCTAGGGCTATGCCCAGACATTTACATATCAAGGCAAGAGTGAACCCCAAGTCAATGACCCTCAAACAAGACCCTGATGGCCAGAGTGGAGACCCCTGGTTAAGGAGGTGGAATATCTTTGAGCTTGCCGAGACTTTTGTCTTTGAGACTTTTGTCCAGGCCGGGACCCAAAGTCCTCTAAGAAATCTTGGTGATGTCACAGTTCCTCATCTTCAAGCAGAACCATTCCCAGCTCCCTAATTTCATGGAATTCCATCGAAGCTTAAGAAAGTGACGAGTGCATATTGACCCTTAGTTCACACAAGGCCCAGTCTGGAGACAGCAGATGTCAGGAACAAGAATTGGATGCTCTCTTTCTTATGAATGTCACACTTGGTCACACCCCCACAGCAATTGGTGTTGCTCCCCCTCCTTTGAAGGATGCATGATCATCCTCAGCCAAGTGCTCAGATGTCCCCTGCCGTGGGCCAAGGGGAGACACATGGTCTCACCAGTGGACAGACCATGCACTATTCCCAGATGCCCAGCTGGAAGGCTGGGGAGAGAACACCCCTCCTAGTAGAAGGAATGAAACTCCCCTGCTGGCCAGAGAAACTAGACAGGAACTAAGGCGCAACCTGGATTCCATCCCAGACGCCACATGGCCCCCTGGGATGTTTTGAGTTTGGCCCCAAAATCTAGTAAATAAATATATAAAACCCTCCTGATGGCCGGGGGTGGGGGGCGTGCAAACCACAGCAACAGGATGTTCAGAACATGGAGGTGAGCACCCCCGCAGGAGCCCCGGGTGCAAGGCTTACAGCCGGCTTTGCGGTGCGCCATGAGCAAGAGCACTGTCTTTAAAGGGAGAAAATCCAGGACGCGGGCAAGCACATGGCATTTTACAAAAATATTTATTTATGCGTTCTTCAAAATTGACTCACCACGAATCACAAAGTTCCAAAGATATTTATGACAGGGTTGGAGCAATAGCACAGCGGGTAGGGCATTTGCCTTGCATGTGGCCTACCCGGGTTCGATTCCCAGCATCCCATATGGTCCCCCGAGCACTGCCAGGAGTAATTCCTAAGTAAAGAGCCAGGAATAACTCCTGTGCATCGCTGGGTGTGACCCAAAAAGCAAAAAGCAAAAAAAAAAAAAAAAGTAAAGATATTTATGATTGAGTTTCTGATGTATATTGTTCTATCACCAGTCCCTTTGTCAGCATCTACTACCCTCCACCAATATCCCCAGTTTCCCTCTGCCTCCAGCCTGCCGCTGTGGCAGGCACATTTTCCTTCCCCCATGGTCCTGGTGTTCCCATCCCTACCTGATCCCCCCAGGGTGAGCTTCCTACCGCAGACCAGCCTTCCTGCTCTTCCTTTCTAATGCCATTGGGTATTGGGTATTTGAAACCCTGTGAGGCTTCAAAAGCACCACGCAGAAACACCATCTGCACCCCTATGTTGGCTGCAACACTACAGACAATATCTGAAATCTGGAAACACCCCAACTGCCCAGGGGACTGGATGGAGAAATGACAGTACATCTACACAATGGACACAAGGGCTCAGCGTGGGGGCATTTTTGTGTTTCTTTTCCAGTGTTCCAAGACCTGTGGGCGTGGGGTCCGCAAACGAGAAGTCCTGTGCCAGCGACCTTCCACGCCCGGAAGCCTGCCCGACAGCCTGTGTGCGGGCAGCCCCCGGCCAGCGTCCCAGGAGGGCTGTGTTCTCGGACGGTGCCCGAAGAACACCCGGCTGCAGTGGACTGTGTCCCCCTGGAGCGAGGTAGGGATGGTACCCTGCATGGAGATGGGGAATCTCACCAAGAACAGGCCTAGCTCCCTCCTGAGCACACTCTGCGCCCCAGTCCACCCAGCAAGGGCGGAACCCTGGTGCCACAGTGCCCCGTGATTGACGCTCCAGCCGGGTACCACGGGGCTGTCAGTTCTTCCCTGCCAACGCGCAGCACCCAACCTCAGCACGCTGACGATCCCTCTCTGACCTCGCAGTGCTCTGCCACCTGTGGTCCTGGGGTGAGGAAGAGGGAGATGCGGTGCAGCGAGAAGGCCCCGCAGGACAAGCTGCTGACCTTCCCGGAGCGCAGGTGTCGCCACGTGAAGAAACCTCGCGTGGACTTGCAGGAGCCCTGCAGCCGTGGCCCATGTCCCGCCAGGCCGGTGTATGGCGGGGCAGCAGTGGAGTGGTACGCGTCACCATGGCAACAGGTGAGCAAGGCCTTAGGGGGTTCATCTCGGTCTGCTGGAGGGATGGGGGGGTTGCAGCCGGCAGAGGCACAAACCTGGGGCTTCAGTGACCTTGGAGCCAGCTCCCCGGCCCTAGGAGAGATTTTTTTTTTTTTGAAGTAAAACAGATTTTATTTGGAGGGTTTTTTGAAAGTGTGTGTGTGTGGAGAGAGAGAGAGAGAGAGAGAGAGAAAGAGAGAGAGAGAGAGAGAGTACCGTGCTCAAGTGAGAACACAGGCTTCTCCAAGGGATGGAGAGAGCCCTATACACATCCCAACATTAGGAGGAAAGCATGAAAGTACAGGCAACACATGTATTCAGGCACTACATGTGCTTGGTCACACAGGCATAAGCACACATGGGCTCAGGCAGCATATGCGCCCTAAGTGAGATTTTTATTCAGTTATTTTTCTTTTCTTTTATGATGAATGAATATAGAAAGTGGGGAGCAATCGATATATGCAAAAACTCTGATGTATGACTTGAGGATATTCACAGATGCTGACGCCTCCTGGTAAATACCTAGGTTTGTAGAGAGTGTGTGAGGTGAAGTGTCACTCCTTCCTGATCAGATCCAATCAGATGGTTCTGTGAGCAAAGAGAATATTTCATTGAAATACTGAAATTGTAGTAACAGATAATCTACCCTGACTGTTGCATTATATTGCAAACATAATTTTTTTAATCTCTGTCTTTTTGATTTTTTATATTGAATCAGTGAGTTACACAGTTACAAGGTTGTTTGTGATTGGGTTTCATTTATACAGTGTTCCAACACCCCGCCTTTCACCAGTGTACGTTCCCCACCACACCCAGCTGTGTTTAGAGTTTACTCCTGTGCTATGATCAGCTATTATCCCTGACCATGGCCGTGTACAAACCAGGTGCCAGACCCCCCTGCTATCTCTCTGGCCCCTTAATTGAGGGCTTTTTGAACCCTGAAAAGAGGCTGCCCACCTGCAGTTGTGTGGAACTGTCCAAGCCTGAGCAAAAGGCCTCAGATCCTGGAGAGGGAAGTTCTGGCTCTCAGCCAACTCCCCCCAGTGGAGCTCCCCTGGCACCTAGAGCACAGAGAGGATGGACCCCCAGAGAGGACATTTTCCTTTGTCTTTCACCACGGTTAAACATGCTGCTAGAATACAGAACTGGGCCGTGCCTACAGCCAAGGCCCACTGCTCCCTCCATCTGCCGGAAACTCCCACTGGAGTCTGTGTAGCTCAGAACCGCCACCCCTCTGGGTTCCACGGGTTCGGGGCCATGTGTCTGTAGGAGTGCAGAGAGGATGCGAGACCACAGATCTCAGCTCTAAGGCTCTCCCAGGGCCAGGGCTGCTGGGAGAACATTGTCCTGGGGACTGTGCTTGGGGCTAGGGAGAAAGTTGAGTTGGGAGGGCACCAGCCTTGCACGCAGCTGACCAGGGTTCGCTCCCTGGCACCACATGTGGTCCCCTGAGCACCGCCAGGAGTGATTCCTGAGTGCAGAGCTGGGAGTAAGCCCTGAGCATCTCTGGGTGTGGCCCGAAAGCAAAAAAGAAAAAATAAAAGACTAAGAAGGAGTCATGCTTTGGCCCTGGAGGCATTCCAACTTGGAGCTCCCCCCAGACCCCTCTTGCTCACACAGAATGAAACCATGAAGGAAGGGCAAAGGCAAGAGAGTGCGCTGGCTTCAATTTTCAATTTCTCTGCTCTGCCTAAAACTGTGCAGTTTTATCCTTCTTTGACTCATTAAGTGGAGCTAGACAGTTGAGTCTTACTATATTTAGACTAGCTGACAAAGGCCAACTCTGCTCCCCACCAGTCTTTTATAAATAAAGTTTTATTAGCACTCAGCCTGCCCATTCATAGTCAGTGACTGTTTCAGCTCCACAAAAGCAGAATGAAGTCACATGACCCATCAGGACTAACAGGTGGCTAATTCCTGCTTTAAACTGTATAAGGAGGATGTGAGAAGAATTCCAAAACTCCTACCGTTTTCACTCCAAGATACTCTTCCTCCCAATTCCTAGCGGTGAGGCTTGTCCAAGGTATAGCCTTCACCTGTCCACAATATAATAGGAAAAATAAGGATGATTAGTAATTTTCAATTGATAAAACCAAAAAAAAAAATCCGTGGAAAGGATGTCCTTTCCCCTATACCCTATATGTGTTCTCTTATTTTGTCTTATGTTTGGAAATACCCTTTTTCTTGCCCTGTTAAATTGGACAGTGAAAACCTTGACTTCTAGAAAGATCCCAGTTCACCAGTCTGAGGCCCAGCAGTGGGGCCGTCTGCATGCTGAGCTGGACTCTCCATCCCTTATCTCCTTGCATCTGTATCTGATTTGCATTCTCATGGCAGCTTCTGCATTTCTGGAAGCTCTCTGTGGAGTCCCTGAGCTGGGACACACTCTGGCCACCCAGTTCTCATTCAATCGCCCACACCAGGTGGGCACCTCAATAACGACCTGAAGGTAGGAATTCTCGCCATGTAATGACATGCCCCCATTTCCTCTTCTTCAGTGCACGGTCACCTGTGGAGGGGGTGTCCAGACAAGATCTGTTCACTGTGTCCATCGCAACCAGCCTTCTTCGGGTTGTCCACTCGGGCAGAAGCCACCTGTGCTGCGAGCTTGCAATACCAACTTCTGCCCGGCGCCTGGAAAAAAAGGTAACGCCCCAGGAAACCCACCACATTGTGCCTTTGCATTGCTGCTCCCTGGACAGCTCCCCAGGGCTTCACTCACACCTACATCAAGGTGAGCAGAGCAGCGCCCCCTGGAGGTGTGCAGGCGCGAATGAGGGCAATCTGACACAAACAACCTGTCTCGTCAGTCTGGGCGCGCTGAGGAGACTTGTCCTACAGTAGGGTTGCATTCTCAGGAATTCCTAGGAATTCCGACTTGGGAAAGGCATGTCTTCTTGGCAATTCCATTCTGGTAAACTGCATAGCAGTGAAATGAATATCTGGGAGAAAATAGCGCCATGCCTCTTGCCCCCAAAGGTTCTGCTACTGGGAATGAGGGCAGTACAAAAGCAAGCAAGATTTGCTCATAGAGAGCTCCCAGTTCTGTGGTGGAGACCCAGCTGGTAGAGTCCATGAGAGTGGATATGTCCACTCCCAGAGCCCTGTCACACATGCGTGCTGAGTTCAAGCCAGACCTGAAACACACAGCGAGCACTGTGGGAAAGGCAGGGCATTCAGTGAGCTGTGCCCGCGAAGGCGTCCTTTCCGGCCCTGGCTGATTCTAAAGCGATCTCACCAGCATCAGGAATCTCTTTCTCCAGCCCTGGGCTGCAGAATCGCTCCCATCTCTTACCAGCCGAGGTTTTCTGCCCGGCTGTGTCCTTGCCAAGATGGTCCCATCACCGCCCCCACCCATGACCCCCACATTTCACAATCTGTGGTGACTCAGGATCATTCACTCTTCCGTGTCCATATCATGTCGCGTCTGAGTTATCTACTCCTGTAGGCTTGGTTCCGGGCCCTGGGCATCCTTATTTCCCTGCCTTATCTGGGCCGTGCTCCAGTCCAGGGAACTGCCTCCACAGTGTGCTGGGAGCCAGATCTCCTATCTCGGCGGGTTCCTGCACACCTGCAGCCTTTCTCACAATGCTGCTGGAGGAGAAATGCACATTTGGGACAAGGAGTTATGTTAGTCCTAGGACATCGCGAGGTCTCCTCTCCATCCTCTGTAGACAGACTCCATCTGGGGGACTGCTACACTCACTCTGGGCTTTCACCCACTCTGGTCTAAGTCCCTCCACTGGCCTTTCCTGTCAGAATGGCCTGACTCGTAGATCAGCCAGTAACAGTTACCTTAAAGACACTACATTTGAAGGGCTGGCTTCCCCCAGGGGCCAGGCACCTGGAATACTGGCTGTATCCCACACAGAAGCAGGCAACTGGTGCTCAGGTCCAAGGGTCCCTCGTCCTTAATAGATTAAGCTCCTGGCTCCTCATCTTCTAGAAACTGCTTGAAATCCAGAGTCACAGCTTCTCACCCAGATCTTTTAGGGAGAGCTAGGACTCATGGGGTAGCAGGGCAGAGGTTGGGGGTGGGGGGTGGGGCGGGGGGACTCTCTAGAAGGCAAAATGGCAACTCGCAGACACTCTGGAGAGGATTGCATCACCTCTGGCTCGCTATGATCCTTTATGCCCCTGTGTGTTTGGGCCCCCTTACTCATCAACTTACTCATCAACTCCCTCTCTATAGATCCAAGACAGGGGCCCTAAGGGCTTTGTCCTGGAGGCTTGAAGACTTAACTTTCTCATTTCAGAGGACCCGTCCTGTGTCGATTTCTTCACCTGGTGCCCTCTAGTTCCCCAGCACGGCGTCTGCAACCACAAGTTTTATGGCAAACAGTGCTGTAAGTCATGCACTCGCAAGAGCTGAGCCCCTCCCCACCGCCACCCCAGGACCCCCCAGTACTGTGAGGCCAGCGTCCTGCTACCACCTCCCAAGACCCGGCCGGCACTGCCTTGCGGGCTGTGCACCCACCCCCAGGGGAGCAGTCGCCGGCTTTGAGGTGGCGCTTCTGGACCTCGTCCGCGCCCCGAAGCACATGGTACTCTGAAGCACTTGAACCCGGCACAGCGATGACAAATCGGACCGATGGAAACACACAGACAAAACCACTTCGATTTTGCACTGTTCCCCCAGAAAGAAGCGCTGAGTTGCACAGGACCACATCGGCATTTCATGTGGGCAAATAGGAAAGTCACTTTGGGACCGAGTCTGCTTTGGATGCCAGCGGGTTCCATGGCAAAGACATCAGGGTTTGCAATAATGGTCATCAACTGGGCCTCGGAGCTGTCATAGGTGGAACCCCTCGCCGGTTACCAGAAGCCTATGGTGTGGCCGGGAGCGCGGGCACCCCAAAGCTGAACTTAACACGCAAAGCCAAATAAATGGTGCTCCAAATCCTGCTTGCTGCTGGACTAGCAAGCTTCACGTTATGTGTATTTAGTGTGCGTGTGTGGGTTATAATTATTATTATTATTTTGTTTAAAGTATAGCCTGCTTAGAGTCTGCAAGACAAAACTTCACAACTTGAAAAGTGTCCCATGGAGCTCCTGGACTCAGAGAGCCGCGGGAACTATTTTAGCTCGCCCTTGCCTTGAAACACTGAACACACCACCAAGACCAAACTCATCTAAAAGCGAGGTGCCGCTGCCCTCCCTGCGAGGTCAGCCTCATGACTTTTGGTGCTAGCCGAACCGAGCACATGGGAGCTGCACGTTGCCTCATGGGGAAGCAGAACTGGTGAGACAGAGGCTCATTCCTGGGGAAGCAAACTCACAGCGTTTTTGGAGAGAAGATCCTTTAAACACTCTCTGTGCATTATCTGAGCTGCTTGAAAAATTAGAGGCCAGTTGTGGGTTGGCTTTTTTTTTGTTTTTTTCTTCCTACCAGCCAACATGTTTTAACATGCCCGAGTATTTGGTTAACAGGAGAAAAGAGTCACCATGGCAACAGAAAAAAGCATCCATTTCCAGGCTCTGTTGGTATTAATCACAGGCCCTTCAGTGAACACTCATATTTTATAATCTCTCCGATTTTTTTTTAAGGCTTTGGCAGCTGGCAGCTGGTAGGCACTAATGCTCTTAAAATTGTTGTCAGTGGGGGAAAAAAGAAAGAAAGAACACTGTCTTGCCAAATCCAAAGTAACTGACAAGACTGATTCCCCCTGTGATTTTTTTTGAGATGTGGTTATAAAGGGCATATTTATATCATTCGGCTCTTGTTCTTAATTTCTTTGATGATCGTAGCCCAATTTTGCTACTTAAAAAAGTCACCATTCAAACAGGAACTTGCCAGTCCAGCATACCGCACCAGACAGTGGTCTGTTCAATTTAGAGCGTCCTCTGCTCCCATTCTAATTGAAATCATGTGTTCTGGAAGCTCAGCGAAGTCGTATTTGGGACATTGTCTCCATTGGCTTGGTTTGGCCCAGAGGAGTGGTCGTTTGTATCACCAGAGGAAAGATTCTATCGCATTCCCCTTGCCCTCTAAAATAATGGCAAGGTACTTGTGTCTTTGTCTAACTTTCATTTTATTTTATGGGAAAAATTAATTTATTAATAGCCTATTATGTGTTCTCACTTGCTTCTCTAAGTGATATTAATTCTGAATAAAACTGTTGAATAAAACAAAACCTTGGGTTCTAGAGAAACGTCAAAATATATGTGTAATATTTAATTTTATAAGTTTTATAATTAAAGCCCTCTGTTTCTTCATCTTGAAAACGTGTTGTGCCTTTGAATGACTTAGAAGATGGTGACGGCCAAGGAGATCTCGAGGTATAAATATCAGAACTATTCCTCCATAAAAAATTTGAATCCTGGGGCAGAGAGTACAGCAGGTACAATGCTTGCCTTGCAGGTTTGATGCCTGATATCTCTGGGCCCCATATAGCGCCCCCCCCACACCCTGCCAGGAGTAATCCCTGAGCACAGGGCCAGGAGTAAATCCTGAACACTCTAGGTATGCCCCCCCCCCAAAAAAAATTGAGTTCAACTTGGGAAGGGGTAAGAAAAGATATTGTTGAATGATTTTTCTTGTTTGGTTATAAGATCAGAAACCATCACATGTTGGGATGGAAGAGGTGGACTTTTCCTCTGGGGATCATCTTAGAGAATGATGAAGTAGTAGGGAACCATGTGGATACTTAGAACATCACACACACGTCACATAATATGGGCAAATGAGCTGTGGGCAACCAATGAGAAGCAGTGTCTGTCAGTCGTGGGCTAAGGTCAGACCACATGATGTCACAGGTTATCATGGGGCCCATGTTCCTCATCCCTGCAGTGTAGGGGTGCATTAGGTTTCACTTAGGTTTGTGCAAATACAGTCTTAACATCCCCACTGTGATGAGACTGCCCGAAAAGATGGTTTCTTGAAACAAATCCATGGCTAAGTGGTGCTCAACTGTGTTGTTCCATAGGATGTAGATACTTTATGTAGATACTTTTTTTTAAGTTCTGTTTTCTATGGGTTTACATTTTTTACTTATTTTTTGTTCTGGGGCCAGGCTGGAGTGATAGCACAGCGGTAGAGCATTTGCCTTGCATGCGCCCGACCCAACTGACCCGAATTTGATTCCTCCACCCCTCTCGGAGAGCCCAGGAAGCTACCGAGAGTATCTCACCCGCACAGCAAAGCCTGGCAAGCTACCAATGACTTATTCAATACACCAAACACAGTAACAACAAAGTCTCACAATGGAGACATTACTGGACCAGCTAGAGCAAATCGATGAACAACGGGAGGACAGTACTACAGTGCAATGCTCCATTTTTACACTGTTTTCTATTGGGTTTACTTTGGAAACCATACAAGGGTATACAAGGCTGCTTTATCTTCTCTCTCTTGTAAGATTGTCACTCTGAAAGCAGAAGAGTGTGACACCTTCTTACTGGCCCCTCATATCTCTGAGACTGCAGAACAATTTCTCTTCCAAAGAGAAGGGAGAAAAGGTTTGTTTTGCCTCTTGTGTCTGATCACCCAAGATTCTAAAAAGCACATGGCATTAAGCACATCTGCTGAATTTCAATTTCAATGTAGTAAAGAGGGGGGGATTATTTCATTGTAAAAATGATTGGAGAATCAAAATTTTTGTTTTGTTTTTCTTTTGGGGAATACATGGTGGTGCTCAGGGCTTACTCCGGGCTCTGTGTTCAGGGAACACTAGTGGCTGGCTCAGAGGATCTTGTGTGGTACAAGAGTTAGAATCTGGATCAGCTACATGCAAGGCGAGCACCTTACCTGCTGTACTATTGCTCTATTGCTCCAGGCCCTCAAAGCAAATTTTTAACAACTCCTGTAAGTGAGAAATCTATTTGCCATAGGTAGAATGTAACCCTCAAGATAAGCTCAATAAATAATATTCCTATTTAAATCACTTATCTTTGAAAATCCTGTCACCCAAGTAAAAATCATTCATAAATGCACTTAGAGATTTTCCAAATGTTTAAGCAGATGATCCTGGTTCAATTCCCAACACCACATATGGTCTCCCAACTACCACCCACAGTCACTCCTAAGCAGAGCCGTGAATAACTCTGAGTACCACTGGGTACATGCACCCCCTCAGAAAAAATTATAAGCAGATGTGAAAAGTGAGAGTTTACTGTGGCAAGAAAGCAACTTACAAATTCATTCATTCCCTGGTGGCATATAAATAATAGTTGCACTCATCTGGCATAGCTTTTCATCATCATCACACATAGTATTTTCTTTCTCTCCGCTCGCCATATCTCCGGGTCCCACAGAAATAACCCTCATCTAGCTGGCATCTGTTCTCTGCCCATGGTGGACAGAGGGCAACCCGTGTAATTACGAAGTGAAAAGAAACATAAATATTATATCAAAATTTAAAACTCCTCCAGTGGTTTTCACCATTCAAAGGTAATGGTGCCTTCATATAGACCAGATTCCTCTTGTTTTTGAACTCATGCAGATCATGTTTTAGAAAATATTTAAGTAGGAACTATATGACTGCCAAGGGAAATGGAAGTTTTATTCAGATTATCTGCCTGCCATTGTGTGGTAATGTGTTCATAAAGATTAATTACCTTTGTAGGCTAAGTCAATTTTTTTCCTCCCACCACTGAATAAATTCATACAAATGCACAATCTTGGGCCAAACTCTCTGTTGATGGTCTAGTACATTAATATAAACACACCACCCACAATCCCACAATGATCAATATGAAATGTGTGCACTTTAATAAAAAATATATAGTTACTGTAATTGTTTACTGAATTCGTGACTGAAATTCCTCGATGAGAACAAGTCAACAGTTTTATAGTTCCTGAGGAATATTCAGTTTTGCATCATTCACCTTCGGATGAAGATGGACTTCCCCATCAATTTTTATCTTCATTCCCAATTCTCATATGGACCCAGAAAAGAAAAAATATATCTATTTATCTATAGCTTTGCTAGCAGAGTTAGATATTGGGTATCATTGTAAGATACTCTTGTTGTTCAACATGTTTTTGTCTATAGAGCTATCTGGAGCAATACCAGTATAAGTTTTTCTGAATGTGTCTAATTATTCATTAGTTTCTGCAAATTTGTGAGTTACCTCACCTATGTATATACATCCAAGCTCACACTTGTGTGTGCTCACACATAAACACACACACACACACACACACACACACACATATATCCCACAACACACTCCCATCCTGTCTGGACACCACGAAGAAAAACTTGTTAGATATTTCTATTTTCCTACGGGCTGTTTCATGAGAAACACAGTTCAGTTCATAATAACATCACTCTAAAGGTCAGCACTACCCATTGCTGGTTAGTTTAATGAACAAGTGAAGTTCAAGAATTGTTCCCAGCATCCTAATTGGGATGCGACAGAGGGATCAACATGCCAATGGAAGTA